AGTGTGGTCCAAAAAAAAAAGAAGAAGAAAAGAATGAAGCAGGAGCTACAAGGGGTCAGATTTCAGTCTGGCTCCAGCCTGCTTGTTGAAGCAATGGCCAGGTGGAGGAGACCAGATAAGGGGGCTCACTTATTCATTTGATAAGGGCTCTGTGGCGCTCAACCAGGGGTCAGGCCACATGCTGCTGAGGAGGTCCAGGTGAGGGGTTGTAGTGGCCTAGATGGTAGCCAGGATGGAGTGAAAGGGGCAACGATTTTGGGAGGCTCTCTCACTGCATTATATAGACACAAGCTGGCATCTGACTCCTGGACCAATATGTATGAATCTGAAAACTGGGGACCTGTTATTTCCTGGATGGATGACTGACAGGCAGGGCTGAGCCCAAGTCTCAGGGGTCCCCGGGGAGAGGCAGCCATTCCTGGAGACCCACCTGGAGTGGCCCAGCCCAGCCTGCCTCCTTCCTCCCCCTGCCTCTGCCCCAGGCTCCAGGAAGCTTCCATGCAATCCAGGCTGAGAATAACCTTTCCAGTAAGTGGGTGAAACCCAAACATCCCGGTTTCTTTTCCTTGGTGCTGGCACCGAGCTAAGTGACTCCTCCAGGGTCACACAGGAGCCAGAGGCCCAGCTGGGAGCCAGAGTCTCTGCTTGTTTTCTATTTCTGAGCGCCTCTCCCACTAAGGTTGCAGGATCTTTGAGAGCAGGAACTGTCTTCTCCGTTCAACTCTGTTTTTTAGAGATGTCTCCCCTAGCAGATTAGGAACTTTCCGGAGGGTAGAATGAAGAATGGAAATACAATTCAGGGAAGCTGTTTTGCTGCCATTTAATAGTTATTTGGGGCTTCCCAGGTGGTGCTAGTGGTAAAGAATCCGCCTGGAGGAGGCATGGGTTCGATCCCTGGGTCGGAGAGATCCCCTGGAGGAGGGCATGGCAACCCACTCCAACATTCTTGCCTGGAAAATCCCATGGACAGAGGGAGCCGGGCAGGCTATGGTTCATCGGGTTGCAAAGAGTCAAACACAACTGAAGCGACTTAGCATGCACACACACAATAGTTTTGAATTTGTGACAGATCCTGTATTTGCCTCAGTCTCCTCATTTGTAAAATGAGGTTAATGATAATACTACCTATTGTGAGGACTAAAAGATATATGATAGAGGAGACAAGATTTTAAGAGTCTTGGGGGTATGAAGAGGATAAAAATGCCAAGCAATACCAAGCACAGACCATGAAAAACAGCCAGAAATGAGAGCAAAGGGAACTTGACGGTAGGCTCCATGAATGGGATTTTTGTTCATGTTACACACTGTAGTTTTCCAGGTGCCTGGGACATAGCCTGGTCCAGGATGGGTGTTCAGTGAGCGCTAGTTGGGGGAATGAATAGAATTCCTTCTAATGGAATGAATAGAGTCCAGGTGTTGATGGTGGACAGTGGGGTGCTGGCTCAGAACTAGGGTGGGAAGGCTTCTGGGAGTGTGTAGGGGAAGGTCCAAGCCTGGAGGGCTGCTGGGAGTGGGTATATCTGCTCCAGAACCCATAAAACTCTGAGGGTTTGACAGTGCACCCCCATAACCTTGCCTGGGTTATGGATCTGGTGTTAAGAGGGGGATTTCCCTGCCAGGATCCTCTCAGCTTCTAAACCACGTCCTCCACCTGCCATCCCCCAGGAGTTCATGGGCACAGTGGTGGTGATGTGCGGGCTCACCCCTCCTCCACACACAGCGTACCCCTCCTCAGCCCCTGATGCTTCAGGAATCCCTCCTGGGCCCCACCCTCGGCTCCAGCTGCTGTCCCCCACTTCCTGTTGCTAGAAAGCTCCACTCAGAAAGCTGACTCATCTCGACTAGTCACAGTGGCCCAAGACCACAACTCTGCTTCTTTTATCATCTGTGAGCAACTCTACAAAGCTGTGACCAGTCAAGTCATGCTGAGAGCCTTTGTGGCCTTCACTGCACAGGGGGCTAAAACCCTGTGCAATGGGAGTGCTTGGAGCCACTTGGGTTGGGGGAGCTTTGTGAGATGGCCACATGCTAAGGTAGTAAATAAAATTGTTACTGGGCTGGCCACAAAGTTTGTTTGGGTTTTTCCAATACGTTGAGGCTGTAAGGGCCTATCGCAAACCAGAGAAGTTTGGGTGTGTGTGTGTGTGTGTGTGTTGAGAGAGAGGGAGAGGGAGAGGAGAGGAGAGGGAGGGAGGGAGGGAGGGAGGTGGAGAGATGCTTTGGCAAAGGGAAGGATGGTATCAAGTCGTTGCAGAACCCGTTGATATTTTAAAGACACATGATCCTCTATAAACACAGCCACACCCTCATGAAAAATGCGCCTCACTCCTGAAATCACAGAACTTTCCATTTTTCCCAACAGATTCAAACTTCTAACGAACGTCCTGTGCAGTGTGGGAAGGGGACCCTGAAACTGCCCTGGAAGAGGCCAGTCTCAAAACCACTGGGACCACAAACTCTGCAAATCCTCCCCTTAAAGCAGCGGTCTCTAACCTTGTTGACACCATGACCATGGAAGACAATTTTTCCATGGACCTGGGGGGTGGGTGGGTGGGAGGATGGTTTGGGGATGATTCAAGTGCATTACATTTATTGTGCACTTTATTTCTATTATTATTCTTACATCAACTCAGATTATCAGACATCAGATTCCGGAGGCTGGGGACCCCTGCCTTAAAGGATGCAGACAGGCCCAGCAGAGCCTGTCTGCCTGAGCTCAGAAGGGCTGGTCTCCAGGGTCCTTTCCTGGCTCACCCTCCCGGACACCCTTTCAGGGGACGCCAGACAAGCAATGACAAAGGAGGTGATTGCTCTCTTCTGGTCCTGGGGGCAGCATGGGTTTGAACCCAGGCTCACCATCTATGAAGATTTGCCCAAGTCACCTCTTGGGCCCGTTTCCTCAGCTGAAAAATAGCAATGTAATCCCTACCTCACGGGACTGTTGTGTAAAGCGTGTAGAACAGGGCCTGGCTGGCTGGTGACACCAGCCAGCCATAGTCCCCCCTATTCCTCTCCCCTGGTTCCTGACTCCTTCCTGGTTCTTGGACCCCTTCTGCAATGCTCTATCCCTGTCCTCATTTGGACCTGTCAGCTGTCACCTCCTCCATGAGGCCTGCCCTGACCACATCTTAAGTAGCCTACCCCTTCTCCACCTCCCCGCCTCTTTGATGAGTTTGCTCCCTTCCTGACTACTCCAGTTCCCCCCTTGGCCCCCAGGCTGCCCTTAGTCCCCGCTGTCCCAGTCCCTCCCAGACCGCCCCCCACCTTGTCCCCACAGCACACAGCAGGCTGGCTTGTCCATCTCACGTTTTATTGTAAAAATGTTAAAATAAATTACATTTTACTTCATTTCCAGTATGTACATACAGTGTATGTGATTCCAGGACAGCCAGTGACACCCCAGCCAAGTGGGGTCAGGACACTAAGATGAACTCGTTGAAACATTTCACAGAAAGACAGAAGGCCGCTCCTTCCCACCCCGATGCCAGGCCAGCACACCCATGGGCTATGGACCGAGTGGGGAGTGGATACCCACGTCCATCACCTTCACTGCTACGGGTGGGTGGGGTTCCGGTCCTCTCTGGCCTCACACCACGGGGGAGGGGCCTGAGGGGCAGAGAGGGTGTTTGGGTGACACCCAGCACGCAGTCGCCTGCGACTGATGCCCTCCCCCCATTCTGACACCATGATCTTGGCTGAGGTCACCAAGAAAGGTCCGACTGGGTTGAGGGGTAGGAGAGTGAACACCAGACATCCCGATGCTTGGGACCCCACTCTTTCATCTTTCCTCCCCTCTTTGGCTCTGAAGCCAACAAGAGATGTTAGGTATTAAAAAAAAAACAGCAGTTCATTTAACAAAAGAACAAAACAAAACATGCAGGGCAGAGGCGGCCGGCTCTAGGGCGCGTATCTCAGAGAACCCAAGAACGCTGCCAGTCCCTCTCCAGAAACAGTCTGTGTACAGTTTCACATTATCGTGTGCTCCCCCCATCGCAAATCCTTCCCTTTCTTACACACACATGCATGCACACACACACAGCAGATGGAGGGAGGAGCAGGATTCACATATCTAGCTGGGCCCCACTTGCGAGCCAAGAGCGATCCGGGGAGAGGCGAGGCCCTTGTTTTCAGGGAACGGGGAATGAGGAGCCGGCGGGGCAGGAGCTGGGGCAGAATAAGCCCACTCCTCCAACTCCAGAGCCCCAGCCTCTCTTTCACTGCTCTCGGCTGCCTGCTGTTGCTTGGCCAAAAGGTGACCGAGGGAACGGGGCCCTGGGCTGGGCTCCGTGCCACTGGGTCCACAGGTGGGACCGCGGGCCACGCTCGGGACCTGCTCTGGGTGCCCTGTTATCAGGAGTGCTTCAGCATCTGCCTTGTTAGCGCCCCACCCCCTCCCCTAGAAAGACTCTTCCCTACTGAGGTTTGCAGCAGGGGGGGCCGGCCAGGCAGACGAGGTGGGACTGGGGGACGGTTAAACACGAACCCCAGGCAGGGCCCCGAGGTGCTAAAGTGCCCAGCGCCCCCCACCCAGGTTCTCACACCAGCCTCACTCTCTCTCCGCAATGCCTGTCTCAGTGCCAGGCACACAGGAGCCCGTTAATACTGGTGAATTCACAAGGCCAAGGCCCCCGACCGAAGAGAACCGTGTGACAGTCTTAACCGAACGACAGGACAATGACCCCTGCAGATGCAGGCCTTGCTGGGAGCAGTCCTGCCAGCCCAGGTGTCCGTGAACCATCAGATACACCAGCCGTGCTCGGGACAGATGCCTCCCGCTACCAGGGCACCCATTCTGCTGAGAAACAGAGGGCCTGTCCTGGGCGCTGTGTCTGACCTGTGGCATCTAGCTGCAGGGGATAAGGTGAGGACGGCCCCTGGCCCCCCACTCCCAGTTCCAGGGCTGCACCCCCCGCCACCAGGGGCCAGGGTCCCAGCCATGGCAGGATGCCCCAGGTTGAGAATAGAAGCCTTGGAAGAGGGGGTGGGGAGCCGGCCCCACCTCACGTGCCTCGGGGGCACTTTGCCTTGTTGTATTCGTTCATCAGCTGTTCATAAGGCACCGACAGCTCCGACTCTGTGCTGGTGAAGGTGGACTCGTCCGAGGAGGGGAACTCGCCCAGGTTCAGGGGCGCCTCGGCTGTGGGCCCCTCCTGGGGCCTCTCCTCGCCGGCCAGGTTGTCCTCCAGCGAGGACTTGGAGGTGTCCTCGTCCAACAGGCCAGCCTCCTTGTTCACAAAGGTGATGCTGGTGCTCTGGAAGATGAGTGGGTGGTAGTCCTGGGCATCCCACGGCTCGCCCTCCTCGCTGATGCGGTCCAGCTGGTTACTAAACACCTCAGAGGTGGGGGAGCCCTCCTCGGGGGGTGCGGCCCCGGCCTCCTCTCCGCTGGGCCGCGACATGTGTCCTTTGCTTCGCAGCGTCTGGGATACCTCTTCCAAGCTGGGCACTCGGCTCTTGGAGTAGACCACCAGGGGGGTCAGCGAGGCGGGCAGGGCCGGCAGCCCACCCCCCGGGGGCCCTGGCCCTGGGCCCCGCTCCCTACCGCTGCCTGTCTTCATGGCCTTCTTCCCGATTTGCTTGATGAGGTCGTTGTAAGTCTCCTCCTTTTTGGACAGGAAGCTGAAGATGTTGACGTCCTTGGACGCCGCACCGCTCGCCACCTGCAGGGCCTTCCTGGAGTGCGGGGAGCTCTCGAAGGACTCCTTCCGCCGCCGGCGCCGCTTCTTAATGGCCTTGTGCACCTCCACGAACATGCTCACCTTCCAGTTGACAAAGAGCGACAGCCAGGCCAGTCCCAGGTAGATCCACAGCTCCACGAAGTAGCGGTACAAGGCGTGGTAGTTGGCGCTGGGGTTCACACCTGCAGGCGGGTCAGGAAGCCCAGAGGATCAGGAGAGAGCCAGCGGGGACCGGGAGACACACAGGGGGCCAAAGCCGTGTCAGCCGAGAGTGGACGCGGCTCGAGAACACAGCAGCGATCGGGATATACCAGGGAAAAGAAAGGATGCCTGTGCTGGACGCTGACACCCCGTCATCCTGAAGGACCCTGGCCCGGTCACCCGTGTGCCTGTCCCGGACCCCAGCCTGGCCTTCCTCCACTGTGGAAGTCAGGAGAGGGGCTCCCCGGGGTGCGGGAGGCTCAAGGGGAGGGCTTTGGGGGGAGGGTGGAGACAAGCCAGCACCCAGCTCAGGAACTCAGCCATGAACCTTGGCCTTGCACTGACTCACCAACACACTGATTCACAGCACTGTTTTGTGTACTCTGGGTGTATGTGTTACAGTTCCATTAAAACCTAGATAGAAATTACGTGAGGGCAGCTGGCATCCTCCTCCGGGGCATGGATTCACTCATTTAGCATAAGTGAGGCTGGCGGAGGGGCCTGGAATGTCCAAGAGCACAGGTCCTGGCAAGAATATCCTAGACAGTCTTGCCTCTCCTTCCACTGATGTCTGGCCAGCCTCCTGGCTTCCTGTTCCTGCCCTCCTCCTGTAGCCCGTAAAGCTCTGCCCTCTGCATACCTTCTCCTTCGAGGCCAGGCTCCAGACACCTGCCCCAGGGAACCCTCCCGGGTTACCCCGTACAACTCTGGCTGCTCCCCTGCCCTCCAGGATCACGGAGATCTCACCTTACATTTCCAGGCATGTTGATCCATATCATTACCTATCCTATGTCCCCCTTCCCGCCCTGAGACTGGGAGTAACTTGTACAAGTAACTGCAGGAAGGGGGCCATTTCTAGAGTGGGGCTCCCTTAGGGCAAGCACTATAAACCCCTCATCAGACTGAAGGGGGTCTGAAGGCAAGGGGCTATCTCCCCGGCAGACAGGAGGTGCTGGTGATCTTGCTTAGGGCTCTGGTTATAAGCAGGTTATGATGACAACCAGGGCCCTACCCTCTGCACACGTGCAGAGCAACTCATCTGACTGTTTAACACCCTGTGATTGGTGGGTGCTATTCCTTTTTTTTTTTTAACCAATTTTACAGGTGGGGAAACTGAGGCAGAGGTTTGGCATCTTGCTGGAGCTAAGGAAGTATAATTAAAACATTTTTCTGTGCTTCCCTAATGCAAAGGCTTCTCCTTAGTCTGCTCTGGGCCGCATCAGCTAGACAAAGATGGGATTGTGCCTCCGTCTAAATTTATCTCCCAGGGCAGCAGGCTCAGATCTGCCAGTGTCAGAGCAGCGTTCAGGCCTCCCTTGCTTTTCTCGCCCACTCAGCCGCCCAATCCCAGCATTCCAAGTCTCCATTTACAACAGGGCGGGAGGGCAGTGACCTGTCCCTGCTTCCAAGAAGGGGGCGGGGAGAGATCAGAGGTCCTGGGGCAGAGGTAGGGGTCAGCGGCCAGGGCAGCAGGCACCGGGGGAGCAAACACCGGCTCAGTAAAGGCGAACGGGGCTTTTTCAGGAAGATTAAGAACCAAGATGCCGTGCAGCCCACAGGCACAAGGACATAAGTGGCTGACAAAGGGGCCAAAGAATCTTATCGCCGCCTGGATTAAGGAGGGGAGGGGAGGGAGGGAGAGTCCCAGCCAGAGAGAGCGGGGCAGCTTGGGAGGAGGTCTTTTTTGTCTTTCAAGCTGCCCACGGCAAGAGCCAAGTTTCTGGCCTCTGAGTCAAGTGTCCAACACAGCGCCCTCATCACCTGTGAGTGATGGAAGGAGGCAGCTGTGATGTGCAGCAGCCCCTGACTCGGCCCACAGGGTCTCGGGGTAACAGACACAAATCCAGCAGGTGGAAGGTCCTGTCTCTAGTCCATAGCGCACCTAAGTCCCTAAGCTCAGATGACGGAGGAGAAGAGAGGAAGAGACCAGACACAAAACACGAACAGAGAAGAGAAAAGCCACCTTGTAAGACAGGAAAGGGCCTTCCCAGGGGGCGCTAAGGTAAAGAACCCACCTGCCAGTGCAGGAGACCTAAGAGGCTTGGGTTTGATCCCTGGGTCGGGAAGATGCCCTGGAGGAGGGCATGGGAACCCACTCCAGCATTCTTGCCTGGAGAATCCCGTGGACAGAGGGAGCCAGGCGGACTATACAGTCCACGGGGTCACAAAGAGTCGGACAAGACTGAAGCAGCTCAGCACACATGCAAGAAAGGAAAAGAGAAGATGCCTGCAATGACTCTCTGCCTTGGTTTCCTCCTATAAGCGGCAGGGCCGGGTCAGGATCTCACTGGATGGAGACCCAGGACACAGGACACCTACCGGGGCCCCCCGGTCAAAGTCAGCTGAGCTGAAACTGGAGGAGAAGCAGAGGAAGAGAGGGCAGGGAGGCAGAGGCAGGGGGCAGGACTCACCGGCCACGAAGTCGCCGAAGCCGATGGTGGAGATGGTGATGAAGGAGTAGTAGAGGCCCTCGATGTAGTCCCACTCCTCCGTCACCATGAACACGAAGGGCGGGATCACCAGGTGGACCAACACTCCCCACAGGATGAAGATGGCCGTGCACGTAATCTGCGCCTTGCGCTGAGGGATGGGCGGGGAGACCAAGTCAGACACAGCGGGGAGACCGGGAGAACCCAGCAAAGCACCCAGAGTGCGCTGAGGAGGTAGCCAGAGGGGAGGCCTCCTCACCTGGGAGGGCAGGGCGCTCTGAAACGGCTCGCTTGCCGTCTGTCCTGACACTTCCATATGGGGACCCAGGGATCCTTCCCACCCCCCACCACAGTCACTTGCCAGGGTCCTCCCCATCTCTGCCCAGGACCCAGGGGTGGGGACATACCAGGCTCACGCCTCTCTTGGTGAGGAACTGGCCCAGCCTCTTGGCACGTCCCCCAAAGAACTTGCCCAGGGCACTGATCCACGTCAGACAGAGCGGTACCCCAAAGAGACCGTAGAAGACACAGAAGAGGCGCCCGGCAGGAGTCTTGGGGGCCACGTTGCCATAACCTGAGCAAGAAGAAGAGAGTGAGGCCAAGAGGGCCACAGTGAGGGTGATGGACCCACCAGACTCAGGGTGGTCCCCACCTCCACCACACACACACACACACACACAGCTGGGGGAAAGCCCATTCTCAAAGATCACTTGACACTGATCTATTATCAGTACTTAAGAAACGAAAATTTCCTTGACCATGCTATGATCTTGATCATTCACAGCACATGATGGTATGGGCTACGCCTTCTCCATCAGACTGGGAGCTCCCTGAAAGTGGACTAAACCTCCACCATTAGCAAGTCCTCCCCTAGTCTGTATGGTACCCGCGTGCAAATTAGAAGGCATAAGTCAATAGCTTCCCTGGGTAGACACTCCAGAAGCATTGTAGTAGATGGTCTCCGAAGATGGCCATTCATTCCTTTTTTAAAAAAAATTATTTACTTTATTTCTGGCTGTGCTGGGTCTTTGCTGCTGTGCATGGGCTTTCTCTAGCTGTGGGGAGCAGAGGCTACTCTCTAGTTGCGGCGTGCAGGCTTCTCATTGTGATGGTTTCTCTTTTTGTGGAGCACAGGCTCAGTAGTTGTGGTGCATGGGCTTAGTTGCCCCCGGGGCACATGGGATCTTCCCTGACCAGGGATTGAACCATTGCAAGAAGGTGAAAGTGAAAGTCACTCAGTTGTGTCTGCGACCCCAAGGACTGTGGACTGCCAGCTTTCTTTGTCCATGGAATTCTCCAGGCCAGAATACTGGAGTGGGTAGCCATTCTGTTCCCTTCCTCCAGGGATCCCAACCCAGGGATCAAACCCAGGTTTCCCGCATTGCAGGCAGATGCTTTACTGTCTGAACCACCAGGGAATAAGTTATATTCTAAACCCCTAACTTCTGGGATGGTTGGTTATCAAAGATAGCCAGAGCAGACACCCAGATTGTGAGTAAGCAGAGGCTGGGCTTATGCAGTGAGTAAACCTGCTTGACCTCCTGCATGGCTCTGGCTATTAAGCTGTGTTGTTTCTACTCCAAGAGCCCAGGTCAGGACTTCTGGAAGAAAACATTCTCCCACGCATGGCCAGTCACCAAGCACTTACTAAATCTCCAGGGGTTTGTCAAAAGGACAGCGTGCAACTGGCCCTATTTTAACCCGGACGAGGTCACATGACCAGAGCTGGGGCATGTAAGAGGGTATCCTGAAGGTCTCAGAAGACTTACCGATGGTGGTGATGACTGTGGCTGCAAAAATCATTGCATTGGGCCAGTTCCAGTTGTTGAAGGTCTGGTTTCCTGTGATGGCTACGCCCTGTCCTGCAGCATCAGATACTATCTAAAAGGAGATACACAGTGAAGATCAGAGAGGAAGTCAGCACTTTATGAACCTCCTTATAAGCATTCTTATTAAATCATCACAATAAGAAAGTGGCAATTATTGTCTTCAATTTATAGGAGATGAAATATTTTAAAGAGGATCAGAGAGGTCAAGTGATTTGCCCAAGGACACATAGCTGGGAAGACTATGAATCCCAGTAAACTGGATTCAGTAGATCTGGAAGGTGTCAGAGAATGTGGCTTTCTAACAAGTTTCCAGGTGATGCTGACGTTATGGCCCAAGGACCACACTTTGAGAACCGCGCCAGACTCTATGCCTCTGAAAGAAGGCAGATATGATATAGAAAAGACAGGAGGACCTCCAGAGTGTGCTACTTCAGGATTGGCCTGGGAGGGACCGCCCCCCCACAGGCCCTTCACACCCTGCCCTGCCATTGTAAGGGCACCCGCTAAGGTCAGCTCAGAAGCTTGCGGACCCATCTTCCAAGGGCGGACCCGTCGGTCATCAAGGTGGTGTGTACTTTTCAGGCTGACTCAAAACCGTCATATCAGTTCCCAAGAAGCTCCTGGCCACTTTGGAGAGCAGGTGAGAGGTGACCTGGGGAGGTCTACTGGGAGGCCCGGGGAGAGGCCTTTATTATCTATTCCAGGAACACAGACAGCTGCCAAACCTGTCCACCTGGCCTCCACCCCATCCTTGAGGGCTGCCTCCATTCACTCCACCCACTATCAGTGGGGGCCGGGACCTCACAAGGCGGCTCCAAGGAAGGGCTAGGATCTGGGGTCCTGGCCCTGCCCCCAGGCAGAGGCCCAGGATGGATCATCTAGCCCAGAATCTGGGAACGCAGACAAATTCCCCCTAGAAATCAAGCCTAGGACCAAGGAAAGACAGAGAGAAGCATGGGAGTAGGAAGGAGAGAGAAAAACTGGAGTTCTCCCCGTGGCCTGACTGAAGCTTGGGGAGAAAAGAGCGAAGGGTGGGTTGTCCTGAAGGAGTGTGCCGTTTGCAGCGGCAGAAGGCCAGTGTAAGTGGATCTGCAGACTGTGTCAAGAATTTTCCATGATGACATGCTCATCTGACAGGCTGTCAAACCACACGGCTCACTGCCTTGCCTGCGCCCTCCACACCCACCCTGCTATTTCCTGCTCATTTCTCTGCAAAGTAGAAGGAAGGTGCCGCAGAGCTGGCCGGGCGCTTCACACCAGGACGTTCAGATAGGAAAGAGGCCAACTGGTCCATTCAGTTCTAGGTCAACTCCAAAGGTTTCCTAAGCCATGACATCTATGTTCTAAGCAGGAGAATGAAATGTCCCAGGGGCCGGGGTGTAAACAGATGGCAAGGAAAACCGGACCACTCGGCTGCCTTTGGCTGCAGTCTTTGCTATCTGAGATACCCATCTTATAGGGGCGGGGGCTGATGAGAGCAGCCCTGTCCTGAGGAAGCACAGCCTGAGACGGTTGACAACTGACCCGGAAATCATAGCATTGGAACCCCACCCCCGGTCAACCCCATGGAGTCTCGGAGGAACAGGAGAGATGTCAGAAGTTGCCTCCCCACCTCCTTCTCATACAAAAGGAAAGGGTGGACTCTGGAGACTCCAAACTGAACTCTCGCTGACTCCTCTCTGGAGACAGCAGAACACTTGGCGGATTCAACGAGGAAGCGGTGGGCACTGGAAGCTGCTAGCGCAGGTTCACCAGAGCAAGTCATGCTCAGCTAAGTGCATCTCCCACTCCAAAGAGACGGCAAAGCCTTGAAGTTCAGTGGAATGCAGTCAATCCAGATAGCAGCGAGGCAGCTGAACAGATGGGTGCAAAGATATTCGTGTGGAGAAGACAGAGAAATGCAGGGAGGGACTGGGATTAATCCGGGTCCACATAAAGGCAGATAAACAACCCCAAGAAGTACTGATCATTATCAGTCTGGCCCGAGGTCTCCATCAAGGCCAGGCCCCTTGAATCTTTTAATCCACAGCACAGAAAGGACATAGATGGCTGACCAGTTTAATCTGCAAAGGATGCAAATCTGGGAACAAGGCTGGGGTGGGAAGCTGACACGCTGCAATGGCACCATCTGGACTGGAAAAACGGGCCCCGGGCTCCTCTGCTGGCTCAGTGGTGAAGAATCTGCCTATCAACGCAGGAGACACGGGTTCAATCCCTGGTCTGGGATGATCCCACGTGTCACGGACCAACGAAGCCCTTGTACCACAACTACTGAGCCTGTGATTGAGAGCCTGGGACCCCCAACTACTGAGCCCACGTGCCACAGCTACGGAAGCCCAAGAGCTCTAGAGCCCATGCTCTGCAACAAAAGAAGTCACTGCAAGGAGAAGTCTGTGCACCCCATCTAGAGAGTCATGCTCACTCACCGGAACTCAAGACAAGCCCGCACAGCGACAGAAGATCCAGCACAGCCAAAATAAATCAACAAATAATCAATTAAAAAAAAAAAAAGAGTTGAGATCTAGCTTAAAAAAAAAAAAATGGGCCCAAACTAACAAGATATGGCTGTCTTTTAAATTTTTCATGTCTTATACTTTGGGTTAGAAGAGACTGACCCAAAGGGTAGAAGGGAAAAGCCCTTTGGTTTTAGCTGACCACAAACCAATAAACACTAGAGTGGCTGCAAAAAGAAAGAAAGGTAAATACAATCTCGGGCAGTGTCAACAGCTTATCTCTTCCGGGCTGGGAGGCAACCAGCCCACTGTCCTCTGCGGGTCAGGCCACGCGTGAGGCACTCTGTTCCATTCTTGGCTGTCAGACTTCATGGTACGCTAACCTAGGGGCCAAGGTCCTAGAGGGGACAGCTGTGAATTTGTTGGATAATGAGCTACACCAGAACGGACGGCCCTTTATTAGGCATCCACTTCTGATCACGGGAAGGTTAGACCCAGGGAGACCAGTGCACATCAGGGATACTGAAGGTGTGACTGCAACAGGGGTTTCTCTGGGGAGGCAGCACCCTCTGGAAAGGTTTGCCAGTGCTGCCTGAGTGGGAGCCTCCTATGTGCCAGGCACTGTTCGGGCACCAGGGAGACAGCTTCAAGAGCGGCTTCTCACACACCTACTCTTGTGGGTGATGGGGTGGGCAGGGACCAGAGAGGCGAGACCCCTGCGATGCTCAGGACAGCCCCGCCCCCCAAGCCCACACTGCTCCCACTGAGCCACACCGGATTGCCAAAGGTTACCTGTGACTCTGCAACCAGTTAGTAAGTGCTGGTGAGTCAGTGGTAAAGAATTCGCCTGCAGGAGACACAGATTCGATCCCTGGGTCGGGAAGACTCCCCTGGAGAAATGGCAACCCACTCTCGGATTCGTGTCTGGGAAAACCCATGGACAGAGGAGCCTGGTGGGCTGTAGTCCATGGAGTTGCAAAAGAGTCGGACACGACTGAGTGACTAAACAACAATAACAAGGAGACATCACATGTAAGAGCTGGCAAAACAGGGTAACTGAAGAAGGCGTTACTTTTGGGAGCCTTGCAGCAGAAAAGCTGGCTTCCTGCCCTTCACCCCACTGATGGTGTGTCCTTTGGGGCCTCCGTCCTGGGTTATCAAGGAGTCACAGCCCTGTGCGCTGTCCCCTTCACCCCCATTATCTCTCCACAGACACCCAGAGAGGGGCGGACAAACGGGGGCATTCCAAAGAGCCCTGAGCCCCCCAGGGCCAGAAGCGCCACTCACCCTTACAACAGTCCATGGCAGTAATGTCCACAGGTCAAGTCAGTACACAGAGGCTGAGAGCTTAACTGGCAGAACTGGGCCAGGTTCTAGACTTTCTCTTGCAAGTCAGCTGGGCTCCTCACCTCCCTCCCTTCCCTGCTCCTGGAGGCCCCAAGCTTCTCTGCCCAGGGTTCCCAAGCAGCTGACCTGGGGCTCAGCCTGGCTCCATCCCCATGCTGGGACAGAGAGCAGGATTTCGGTGCTGCTGTGGGTCAGATGCCTCTTGCCCGAGCTTTTATACATATTCCCTGACTGGCTCTTCCCCGAATCTGCCAGGCATCACCTGACGGGTGAGGAAACCGAGGCTCGGGGAGCAGAGGTCCGGATGTGAACTTGGGCAGCCTGCCCCCTGTACGCACCCTGGGTTACTGCGGCTCCAGTCGGAACATCTCACTGATTAAGGTCAGGGGCAGGGTCCCACAGGCTGGTGGGACCCTCTCCCCCAGAACAGAGAGGCTGATCCAGGACTGAGGGCATCCCTGGGTGAGGGGAGCCATTAGACACATCGTCTGCTCCCCCAGGGTTAGGGAAGCTGCTTTCTCGGGAGAAAGTGGACCTTGTTCACGCACATGATGATTTAACTTGGCTTCCAGATTCACACAAGACAATATTTTCATTTTCCACATCACCCTAGAGAACGATGGGAGAGGGGGATCCCGCAGACAGCCTGGGCCCGGCTCTGGTTTAAGGGTGGAATGGAGCTCCCCTCCCTGCCTGTCATCCTAGCAAAGAAGCGGCTGTGATTTATTGGGGGGTGGGTGGGGGGGGGTTGGTTACCATGAACCAAACATTGTGCTGAGCACTTTATGTGCCTCCAGCTCATTTAATGAGCAAAGAATCCTGCTGGGAAGACACGGTAATTTTTTTCGTTTTGCAAACGAGGACCTGGGGCTGAGGTTAAGTGAGTAACTAAGGGATGCTAAAATCCAGGAAGCGGGGTGTGCAGGGGAGCCAGCCAGGATCTGGGTCCTGGCTGCAGGAAGGAGGCCGGTGCATACCTCCACCCCTTCGCACCACCTGGAAAAACAGTGTCCTAAAACCAGCCCATCCACTCGGACAGAGCCCTCAGGGAGGGGACATTCACGCCTCTGCCTAGGCTTCAGGCAACATGCTGCCCTGACTCCACCCTCCCAGAATCTCACTGTCCACGAAGTCTGGGTTCCCTACGGCTTCTCATCCCCCAGGGATCTGGGGTTTCTTCCTGTGCAGAGGTAGCTGCCAGACACCCCCATCCTGGAGATGCATTCTGCAGAGCTCCAGAGAGGGCCCATGC